TTATTTAAACAGATATAGCATAATGTCTTCCCAAACAGTTGCTAAAGGAACTTGGGTTTCCAAGAAAGAGATGCTGAGCTGTTAGAAGGCTGGAGGAGTACAACAACTTATTCCCAGTTTCACTTTCCATAATTTTACATACCTGTGGTCAAACACGCTCCTGAGGCAGATAATCCTCCTTCTGAGTATCTTCGGAGAGTCAATTGCCTAACTATGTCACAGTGCCTATGTCCTTTGTGTCACTTCATTTTGCCATGTAGGCATTTTATCACACATCATCACAAAAAGAGGAGTGAGTACAGTATAGTAAGCTGTTTTGAGAGAGAGACCACATTCACATAACTTTTAATTACAGTAATAATTGTCCTATTTTATTATTAGTTATTAATCTCTTACTATACCTAACTTATAAATTAATCTTTATCATAGGTATGTATGTGTAGGAAAAAAACATGATGTATAGAGGATTTGGTACTATTTGAGGTTTCGGGTGTCCATTGGGGATCCTGGAACATATCCCCCAAGGATAAAGAGGGACTATTAAGTATTTCTGGAAACCTTAAATCCTGTATTTGTAATTTTGTTGAATGCTGATGTAATTTGGCTTATCTTTGTAGTCCAACACATGATAGAAGATGCATGTGTGTATGTATGTATGTGTGTATGAAACAATAAATCTAGTATATTGATTATATTCAGCTATTCTTATGCATTTGCCTTAGGTTTGTCCAATTCTGAAAGAGATGTGCTGAAATCTCCCACTCTAATTGTCCTTTCAGGTTTGCCCTATGTCTGTGTTCGGCTGAAGTGCTGTGCTGTTGGATGCATACAGTGTTACGATTGCTCTACCTTTTCATACATTGTGCTTTTATCAATACATAATATCCATTCTGACCTCATCAACCTTACCTCTTGCCTCGTCTCACACAAATCTACTCCCTCTCACACCATTCTGTTTCTGTATGTTCCCTGGGCCTCCAGCCTGCACCCCTTTATTCATTGCACCCTGTTAAGTGTTTTTCTTCCCAACATCCATCCTTTTAACTTTTTTTTTTTTTTTTTTACCCACTCTGACTTTCAGTGGAAAAATGCATTTCATCTCATTTGTTATAATGACCGATGGATCTGGTTTTCTTCCTTCTGTATTCCTTTTTCTTTTTTAAAATTTTGAGGTTTTTTTTTTTTTTTAATTTAATTTATTTTTTCATGAGAGACACAGAGAGAGAGGCAGAAGGAGAAGCAGGCTCCATGCAGGGAACCCGATGCGGGACTCGATCCTGAGTCTCCAGGATCATGCCCTGGGCTCAAGGCAGGTGCTAAACCACTGAGCCACCCTGGGATCCCCTGTATTCCTTTTTCTTAATTATTGATTTTACTCTGCACTTTTCTCTTACTTTGTCTTTAGTTTGGCTGATATATTAACTTGTCTTCCACCTTTTCTTCAAACTTATTCTCTACTCTTCCTAGATTATTTCAGTCCCTCCTCCTTATTTCTCTGTGATTTGAAAATAAAATTCCAGCTACTTTTCTCACGAACACTCTGTAGCTCCCCAGCCCTCCTGGAGACGAGGCTTCGGAGCTTTTGTTTTTCCCTCCACTGCCTTCTCTGGCCAGCCGGAGCATGTCGGGGTGTGCACCCTGCTGTTCCCACAACCCCGTTCCCAGTTCTTGGTGTTGCTGAGATAGTTGAATGCTTTCAGTCTAGCAAACCATGAGATTTCCCCTTCATCATCTCCTTTTTACTTTGAGAATCTTTGTTTAGCACTTCCTTTGCATACCCACTCCATCTATGTAAACACACACAGGTATATATGAGCTTACAACTGTCTATCTTTAGTTACACATATATCAATATAATATAGACAGGGATATATGTAGATAGATGGTACATGTAGAGTTACTGTTTATTTAAGAATTTATTTATGGCACAATGCTAGTTGCCTGTTGTCCTCAATACCATTTTCTTCACCCCAAGGCCTGAGGTGTAGCTTGTTGGTGTACAGGATTCTTGAGGTGAAGTCCTTTTCTTCTGTAATTTCTAGGGGTTACTCCACTATCCTTTGGTTTCTAGGGTTGCAGATGAGAAGACTGACGCCAGGTTTATTCTTCTGTTCCTTTGGGAGCAGAGTGTGATTTGTTCTGGGAGGTTCCAGAATGTTTTTATTACCCTTTGGAGATTTGGCACTTTTCAGAATGGCCAGATGCATGAGTATTCCCACATTGATCTCTCCTGGAATTCAGGACACCCGTCTTGTCCAAAAACATGAGTCTTTTTTTTCCCATTATTTGTTTAATTATTTCCTCTTTTTCATCTGTTCCTTTTTCTCTATCTGAGACTCTGGAGGTTCACACCTTATAGGGCCTATCTTTGTTCTTCAAATCTCTTTTCCTGTTTTTCAAATCCTTTGTTCTGGTCATGAGTTCCTCTATGCTGTCTTTGCTCTGCACTTTGAAATTGTGTTTCTGATGGAGCTTTCCTAATACTGTTGGTTTCCTGTATTTTTTTTTATTATTATTCATGACAGACAGAGAGAGAGACAGAGGGGCAGAGACACAGGCAGAGGGAGAAGCAGGCCCCATGCAGGGAGCCTGAGGTGGGACTCGATCCCGGGACTCCAGGATCACACCCCAGGCAGAAGGTGGCACTAAACTGCTGAGCCACTGGGGCTGCCCTGGTTTGCCGTATTTACCACCCATCCTTCAATTCATGACTGTACTTTACGTTGTTTTTTAGTTCAATAATCATATCTTTAGATCAGAATTTTGCATGTGTGTGCTATCTTCATAAGTGTTCTTTTATGTTCAGTTCAAATGAGTGCCTTCCACACAAGTGCTGTGGATTTCTTTTGCTGCCCCTAGGCCATGTTACTTGTCCTACTGGGCTCATTTCAGCTCATCTGTGGCAGCTGGGCAGTCCCATTGCTGATGGAGCAGTAAAGGTGGGGCAGGCAGGCCACTGGTTCCCTAGGCTCCTGAAGCCCTCTTAGCCCTGGCCCACCTGTTCTACTCCCCTGGGTTTATTCTCAGAGTGAGGAGGCTTTCCTATGCAGGAGGAGGAATAAGGGATGGGAACCTATGATTCTCTGTAGGATAAGCTCTTCGGGGATCCAGAGCTGCCCTGCATGTGCTCTAGGGTTCCTCAGCCTCTTATTGGAGCCTCTGCCCCACTGCCCGTGATTCCTGTCTCAGACCTCACCTGCTCCAGCTGGTTGTGAGCCCCACCAGCCTCTGGGCTCAGAAGAGCCTGGTGGATTGGATTTGGGACAGAGAAAGCATGAAAAGGCATTTAGGGTAGGACTCTCCAGAATCCATCTCCGAACTATGATTACTTTATATTCATAAAAGTGAATCACAATTGGGATGCCTGGGTGGCTCAGCGGTTGAGTGTCTGCCTTTGGCTCAGGGCCTGATCCTGGAGATCCAGGATCAAGTCCCGCATCGGGCTCCCTGCATGGAGCCTACTTCTCCCTCTGCCTTTCTCTCTCTTTGTGTCTCTAATGAATGAATAAATAATATCTTTAAAACAAAACAAAAAAAAGTGAATCACAATCATTGTAAAGGGAAAAGAAACCACTACAGAATGGTACAAAGTAGAAAGTGAAAGGATCTCTTGTTTCTGTCCATTCGCCCAGGGTAGCCACTATTAATAGCTTAGCGGGTCCTTCACATATTTTCTCCTTTCTTACATACTTATTTCTTTAAAAAAATACAAATGGGGTCGTACTATATGTACTGTTTGTCAATTTGTTAGCTTTTTTTCCCCTCAGTGTGTTAAGGGCTTTTTTTTTTTCCATATAGGCTTGCCACGTTTTTTAAAATGACTGTATGGCTTTCAGATGTGAAAATAACAAAACATGCTTAATGGATGGTTATTATATACAGTTTTCTCTATTACGAACAATGTTGCTTTGAAAAGCTTTGTGTACACCTGAATGTATTTCTGTAGACCAGATTGCTAGATGAAGAATACGTGGGTAAAAGAACATACTCTTTTTGAATCTCAATAGCTTGTATCAAATTTCCCTCCAGGAAGGTTGAGCTTGTTATTCTCCCATCTATGGAATACGAGAGTTGATGTTTTTCACACTCTGGCTGACACCGTGTTATCATTCTTTTGGTTTTTGTTAGTTTGATAACATAAAGTAATATCCTATTGTTGTTTTAATTTGAAATTTTAAAATTAGGAGTGAGGCAGTAATGTTTTTTCATGTGATTGTCCCCTTGTTTTTTTCTCTGTGAATTTACTCCTTCATATTGTGTTCTTTCTTTTCCCATTGAATTGTTGGTCTTTTTCTGGATTCATAGTTCTTTCTAACTTAAGGAAGTTAGTTCCCTGGTTGTCATTTGCGTGGCAAAAAGGTTTCATAGAATATTATTTGTCTTCAGCTTTTTGTGGTGGTTTTTACTCTACTGGCATTTATGATTTTTATATCAAACATTTAGCCTTTTTTCTTCAGGTTTCATATCTTTGTGGGAACGATCTTCCTTCCTTGACGATAGTATCAGTATAAAGAACTTTTATGGTTTCAGCCTTCACGTGTAAATCTTTGATCTGAGATTTATTTTGATGAGAGAAGTAGATGGGATGCCTGGCTGACTCAATTGGTCGGTAGAGCATGCAACTCTTGATCTTGGGGTCATGGGCTTAGAGCTACTAAAAAAGAAAAAAAAAGTGGAGAAGGGCTCCAGCTTGACTTGTTGAATTTTTTTCAATAAGGCTTCTTATTTAATCCAGCATGTCAGAGTCCATCTTCTACTGACTGATCTAAAATGACACCTTCATCATAGATTACATTGCTGCGTGACTGACTCTCTTGTTGAATGATTTAAGGTTTGCCCAAGGGAAAGCCTCGTGACTGGGGCATATTGGGAACCTGACTCCTGCGTGAGGGACACTGACACCACAAGAATCTCCAAGAGAGTGAGACTGAGCTTTCCCTCCTGCCTCTGCTTGGCTTCCCCTTCCGTGCTCATCTGCCTTTCTGTTACTGGTGTTACAGATATCTGAGAAGTACGGGCTGCCTGTGGAGAAGATCACAAAGCTTTATAAGAAAAGCAAAAAAGGGTAAGAAAGAAACAACTTACACTGACTTCCAGATCAGATCAATCTACATAGTACCTTAAAAAAAAAGATGGTGCCCATCTTTTGTTCTGTTGTCCACCTTTTATAAAAAGTGTGTGTCATCCTTACAAAGGATTGCTGAGCAGCATCCTTACAAAGGATTGCTGAGCGAGCTTGCAAATGCAGAGCATTTTGGAGATCTTAATAAGAGAGGGAGGGAAGGAGATAGCACATTGTCTTGATGTCGGCTGAGATGTCCCATTCTAATGACAGGATAAGCCGGTGGAATAGAGGGGTTTAGAAGTGGTGAAGACCCTGGGGGGAAGGGCAGTGTCAACCCTGTGCAGGGAGCAGAGTTTATAAAGGATCACATGCTGCTCCTGGGATTGGTTTCATGTTGACACGTGAGAACCGTTCAGGGCATAGAAAATACCTGTGAGGTAATTATCAACAAAATAATCTAAATGATTATTGGACCTGCCTGTTCTCAGTGTTAAGAACAATACTTCATTTATTGGGGGAACAATACTTCATTTATTGGGGGCGTTCAGTAGATTCTGGGACTCTTGCACGTGCTTTGTATGCACTGCGCTATGACTCCTCCCCACGCCTCCAGCCTCCTGGGGGCTTCCTGTGTGTATGAGGTTCTAAGTGGAGAGGCTGTAGGAGCTAAGTTTAGTTCTAGGAGAATTTCTGCTGAGTCAGCTTCTGGAGCTATTCTACAAAATGCAGAATATGGCTCTTTAAATTCTTCGCTGAGCCTCTGTCATAAAGGAAATTGATTATCTGAGATGCTCCGGCTTTCTGAGTGATGGGTCTCTTGGCAGATTGGGAATCAAATTTGGGAAACCTTTTCCACTGGAGCCCTTGTTGGCAAGTTCACTTAAATGAACATTACAATTTTCTCCATGGTCAATGCAATAGGCTGAGCCTATTCCATTGATGGTGATATTTCAGGGTCTTACTGCTGGGCAGAAATCCTCAGTGCAGACGTGCATGCCAGTGGTCATAACATTTCACTTCCATCGAGCGCCATATTGGGCCCTGCACTAAATACGTTAGTCCTGACAGCAACTCTAGAGCAGGCTTGTTTTTCTTAGTTTGCAGTAGAATAAAACCGAAAAAAAAAAAAACTTGCCAGATGATACATAGCTGTCAAATGAGTCAGTTCTTCAATGGCAAACTGAGATCTGTCTGATTTCCAAATCACGGACAGACCCTGGAAGTTGTTGATTCTCTTAAAACCAAATCCACTTAGGATAGTTGACCAAGGAGTAGGTCACATGTGGTGAAATGTAAGCTTCAGAGTGAGGCAAAGCCAGTTTGCAGTCCAACTCAGCCAAGACCCAGCTGGATGAACCTGGGGAGAGCTGATTTCACTTCCCTGTACTCAGTTTTCTCATCTGCATGGTGGTGATGGTCCGGGCTGCTGGGAAGAATAAAGACAAGGTCTCTGAAACATTGAAACAAATTACATGCTCAGCAAAGGATAGCCACAGTTCTTGATTTTCCTCTTCTCTCACTATGGAGTACTTTCTTAAAGTGCGTTTTCTAGAGGCAGTGGGCTTAATGAAGACAGTTAAGGACCTGACTCTGTCAAGAGCTAACTCAACGATTTCAGGCTTACCTCTCTGGGCCACAGTTTACCAGTCTATAAAGCAAGGGGGAGTGGGGGAATAGATCTCTGAAGACCCATTTAATAAGGAGTCACCAGGTTAGTTCTGACAAATCGAGGCTTTATTTTCTTCAAGTTGGTTTCTGGGGAAAGAAAATATGATGAGGGTCTTTTCCTGCTTTATCTCCTCTCTCCTCCATCCTTTCCGGCCTCCCTTACCAAGGAATAGCTAAGGGGACCCCCTCCCCCCAGCCTGGAGTCTGCCCTTGCCCGCCACTTGTTGACGGCATCTTTGTTTCTTACCCCCCACCCCACTCCCTGGCAGCATCTTGGTGAACATGGATGACAACATCATTGAGCACTACTCCAATGAGGACACCTTCATTCTCAACATGGAGAGCATGGTGGAAGGCTTCAAGATCACACTCATGGAAATCTGAGCCCAGCTCTTGGCATCCCCTCGGCAGAGGCCCTCAGTGCATTCCTCCCCAGGAGAGATGGAGGCCCCAGCCTGGAACCCGGACACCCACCTCCCCCAACTCAAAACCACTGTTACAGACCACACTGGGAGCCAGACGAGGCACAGAGCCCCGGTTCTTATCGGTGTGTTGGGCCCATCTGCAGGGTCCTACTGGAGCTGAAGCCTGAGGCCCTCAGGAACGTGTGCTGGGCCTGTCAGATACTTATTTATTCTCCACCTTCTTCGGGAACCCAGGGTCCAGGCCCGCCAAGGCACAGCTGGTCACTGCTGGCCTCAGATGAGACCGTCCAGAGCTATCCCCCTCCAAGGGAGACATAGCCAATCCGTTCACTCCAGAGAGCCTGAGAATGCCCGGGCCCTTCCGCCTCACCTGCACTTCTCCTGAGTGGCTGGACCAAACGAGCTGCTGCCACTTTCTGGTCACAAACCTTCAGGCCACTCTGGGGAAGGCCATCTTGCTAAATACCTCCCAGGGTTTGTCACGAGTGGCTGCCAGGCCTTGTACAGGAAGACATTCAGCTGCCATGATATTAGTAACTCAGAAGGCGTGCCTGGACATCGTGTACATAGTGTTTATAATATCACAATAATATATTTTACCCGTGGTACGTGGGCATGTTTACTGCCCCTGAGCTGTTGGGGAGGCGCTGGGAAGGGAAGTGGCCTCGGGCGTCAGGGACCCCGGGGATGCCGAGGAGGATGCTGGGTGCACTCCCGCTGTGCGGACCACCGTGCTGGGCGCCTGGCGACGCCCGGCCTGTGTCTCCGAGTGGCCCAGGCAGTGGGAAAGGTCAGGGCGTGGAGGCCTCGGCCCTCGGTTGAGGGGAGCTCTGCCGAGAGGCTGTGCTATCCCGGGGCCACCACTGAGCTCCGTGGGGCTCGGGAGGGCCTGGCCCCTGTGTGGCACCTCACGGTTTACACGCGCATCCTTCATCTCAAGTGGCTCCCTTACAAGCCCAGCAGTAGCTGAGAGCCGTGCCCACAGCTTAGCTCTGAATCCACAGGCGAGGGCAGCCTCCTGTGGCCGCCTCTGCTCCAGGCTGCTGGATGGCGGGGGTGGGGGGGTGCCCCCCCAGAGCGCTCTGGCTCTTCTGAAGGCAGCCTCCCGAGGAGGACTGGGAGAGAAGGTCTTGTCCTCCTGCACGTGCCCTGGGAGACAAAGAGGAGAAAGAAACGCTTCCCTAAACAATTATGAAACCATGAGCCGTCTTGCGGCGCTGTTCTCTTTGAAGGGACTGGTCAGTGGTCTGGGGTTTGCGTTCACCCATGTGGCTGAAGCACTAGCCTTTGGTAGTCAGCACGCCCTCCCCTCAAGATCCTGCGCTAGGACAGGTTCTGTGTAAAGGCCCAGATTTATTTGAGAAGCACTTTGACGTCTTACCTGGGGGGCTCTCTCTCTCCAAGGGCTCCCTGCCTCCCACCCCTTCTGCCCCTGAGGCCCAGAGCAGGCCAGAAGGGCTGTTTTCAGCCAGCTGTGTCTCCTCGAGGCTGCAGAGGATTTGAATGGAACAGAGGGCAGGGGCTGCACCTAGGGAAATGTCCGGGTGGTCTTATGGGGGCACCTTTCAGTGTGTCTTCTGGACATCTTACCCCTTCCTGTGGTGCCAAAGGTTTGCATCCTGGATTCAGTTCTGCTCCAGCCTGTTCCCTCCTCCCCACTCTGTCATGCCCTGAACCAGTAGCTTGGGGACCTCGCTGGGTACTGATGCAGCTCTGTTCTATGACGGACAAATTCAGTGTTGGAAATAGGCACTTCCCATGCACCTGACTTATCCGTTCCGTCCTCTGGACTCTGTGCCCCAGTAGTACCTGCCAATTTCCTCTGCCAGTCATGTTTGAACCCGCCCCTCATGTTTGAACCGGCCCCCGAGGCAAGGAGCATGGGAAGTGCATAGTATATAAGATACAATTTTGGGCAGTCTGACACAGGTAGCCCCACCCTTCTTTCTCTAGTCTTGTGGGAAAATGTTTGCTAGTCCTGCCCTAGGCAGAGGATGAATCAGAGATGCTTTTTCATTTGTTTCTGATCCCTAAGCAATCACGGTAGTGACCCCTACCTACCAGAACAAAGAATGTGAGGCCAGTGCCACCCAAGTGTGGTGCAGAGCATCACCTCCCATCTGCTCTGCTCCCAACCCTTACCCTGTCTGCTCCATCCTCAGAGTGCCCGTGGCTTAGCTTGGATGTGTCTTCCACCATGTATGTCAGCAGAGCTTCGATGAGCACAATTTTCTGAGCAGAAACACTCTAGAAAGATAGGAAAAACTGACTCCTCTGCTTTTGTCCCTTAAGTTAATCACACTGAAATAAATATGCTTTTTAAAAAATCCATGTAAAATGGGGGACATGTCAAACAAGTATTTTTCTTATATGTATCCAAGTTGCTTAGACTTAACAGGTGTTTGGAAATTGGGACCAACAGCAAAATGCAGTCAGATATCATCTTGGACTTGGATCCTAAAAGACTGAACTCAGAAACTTAGGAGGCATGAAATGAATCAACATTTATTTTCCCTCCTATTTAAAGTTAGGAAAATGCAAGAGAAACAGGGTTTGTGCCAAATTCTGTGAATGGCCCGTTCTTAAAAACGAGTGAGGGAGATTGATAGATGGACAATTTGCTTTCATGTTTTAAAGAAAAAAAAGGCAAATGTAACTTAATAGTTTTGTAAATGGGAGAGGGGGAATCTATAAACTATAAATACAGTTATTTTATTTTTTGTACATTTCTAAGAAGAAAAAATAAATATTCATAATGTCAGAGTAAATGTCAATGTCTGGTGTTTTCTGTGAAGTGGGTGTTGGGGCTTTTTGCCCTGTTGGAAAGCTGCAGCGTAGCCTTGGGAAGATTCTAGGCTGCCCCTGGGCACTTTCGGGTCCTAGGCCTTAGTACAGCAGGTGTGTCCTCTTCCTGTGGATTGTACTCCACCCCAAGGTTACACGAGAAGAGAGCTAAAGAAATCAAGAGGCCTTCATTGTGACAGTGACGTCCCACCTGGGTGGTCATTCTTGGCCAACTCCCCAGGGCGGACGGTAGTTTCTGCCTGCCCGCTTTTACCTTCCTCACTCCCAGTGCACTCACCCCCACCTGAGCTATCTCTTTAGTTCATCTGTACCAGCCTCCACAGAGACTGAAACCTGATGGCTAAAACTCCAATTACAGCATGACAGTCTTGCCCCGCTGCCTCCCCACTGAGCCACCAAGCTCTTCAGCCATCATCCACCAGAGCCTCTCCACTCCAATCAGCATTTCTACATCCTTTTGCAACTCACGTTGTCTACGTCCACAGCTGTCAAATCTTGGCTTAAAATTTGCCTCGAGAGGGCAGCCGGGGTGGCTCAGTGGTTTAGCGCCGCCTTCAGCCTAGGGCCTGATCCTGGAGACCCGGGATCGAGTCCCACGTCGTGCTCCCTACATGGAGCCTACTTCTCCCTCTGCCTATGTCTGTGTGTGTGTGTGTGTGTGTGTGTGTGTGTGTCTCATGAATAAGTAAATAAAATATTTTAAAAAAAATTGCCTCGAGAAAGTCTTTTCTGACAACTTCACCCCAGTGGCAACCCCACTGGCACCTCAAGCAGCTTCTATGCCTGGACCAGGGCAGGGGAGAGGAGGCTGGGGTAGAGCTGATGGAAGAGACTTCTGGAAGGATCATGGGATTAGCAATGGGCCACAAGGCCTTTTTGCCATGATGCTCCACAGCCCCCATGGGTGGTTGAGTGGACCCACAGGCCTGTCTAGGTCCTGCAGAGGATGCAGCTGGTCTCCACATCTGCCCTGAGGTAGTCACTCCTGTGGCCCATGGCAGCAAAGGCACTGCTGCTCAGTGACCTCTGCTTGCCATGTGTGCCACGCTGTCTCCCACCTCCCTGTGCAGGACTCCGGTCAGGTAGGCGAGGATGACTAGTTGTCAGGGCCACAGGGGCCAATCCTGGCTCTTGCCTCCACTCTGCTAATTCAGTTCAGTTACTAGGGTCCAGGGACTGTGCCCCACGCTGGGGACAAAGAGGCGGGTTAGACACAGTCTGCCCTTTGAGGCAGTGATTCATGTGCAAAGTGGCTTGGCATCATTAGTACGGTAATAAGGCCGCACCCCAGGAGAGCGGGGCTGGGTCATAGCCGCAGTTCTAAGACACACAACCTCTCCCACCCTTAACACTTCTTGTGCAACATGAGAAATCACCAATGTGAATCTCACTTTGGGAAGGTTGCCAACTCGAGTGTCTGAGCCCATGTATCTGAGGGTCAATGGGAATGGGAGAGGGGATGTCACTGTGTCAGTTCAGGTCCTCTTAGAAGCAGACCAAGATGGGATTAGACATTCAAGAGATTTATTGCGGAGAATGCATACGAACGATAAAGGGGAAATGAGCAGGGGGAGATAGGGAGAGCATGCAGACTAACCCCTGCTGAAGGAGGGAAGGGAGAAAAGAAGCCTGGGCAGGAAGAGCCTCAGACTGCCTCGGCCAGGACCCCCACAGAGTCCTTGCATGAAGGTCACATGCAGGAAGAATCCCGTGTGGGGCAAGAATGGCCCAGTTCTAATAGCCTTGCCTCGTGCAGTCGCTGACTGGGAGCAGCCCCAGAGAGTGAAGCCTATTATCCCGTGAGCTGTGCTTGCAGCAGCAGGGGCTCCAAAGGGAAGATCTGAACAGCCCTCTGGTGACCACAGCCAACCCCTCCTGAAAGGTCTCCCATAGCGTCGCTGGATGCTCTATTACAAGTAAATGTTCCTTGAATGGGTTTCCTGGTCTACCCTTCCTACCTATAACATACCCTTGTATGTTATACCTTTTGTCCTCAGGGTCCTTCATCCCTACACTTTACTGAGATCTGCTGAACAGGTGCATGGGTTAATTTTAGAGACTCTGGAATTCTAGGAAACACAGTGGGCGGGCCTCTGATCAGCAAAGCAGCAAAAGAGAAGGGGATGTTGAAAGGGCACTAAAGACCAATGTCACCAGCTTATTCCCTGCGTAGCAAACACCCTTCGTGCACCACTCAGGAAAGAATTTGATTTCAGCTCTGAGGTAGACATAGATGTAGATTACTTTGTGATTGTATTCAAGGTGCTGGACAAAACTTATCAGCTGAGCTGTGAGCTTGGCCTCCCACTTCTTTCCTAATCCCCCCAACCCCCAACCTCCACACATACACACATCTCCGAGACTATAGCACTCGGTATTGTGTTGGGTCACCATGAACACTCGTGCGAGCACACAAAGTGGTTAAATACTGGTATTGGAAAGATACCTTTTGTGAAAGAGTCTGTCCATCTGTCTGCATGTATATGACATACTAGTAGCAGCTTTGGGTATTTAATAAGGGCCATTGAGCTACCCAGAATTGTAAAACCTTTCACCTAGAGAACTCATAAAATGCCATCTATTTCCTGGAATAGCGTTGAGAAAAGAAGCCATGAAATAAGCCTCTCTAAGGCCCTTGCCTCTCTGAGTTGCCCTAGGGGGTTAGCTCCATAATGTGGAATGTTCTCCAAGTGATCATTGTTTGTAAGCCCAGGGATGTCTGGGACCATGCATGGCACATTAGCACTCAGTGCAGCAAATACCCAGGACATACCTAAGTCATGATTCACATTCAAGTGCAGAAAAACCCATTTGAAATGAATATACCATC